ATTCTCTCTCCTGCTTTTACTCTTAGGCTAATTGTAAGTCCATTTTGAACAAGAATATATTTTATTCCAGTGGAAATGTGCTAGATATTTCCCTCTCTCACCATTTTTCTTCTTTTTCTTTTTTCTTCCTCTCTTTTAAAAAACGTTTTTAAAACTCTTTTGCTCTTATACTCTTAAATGATTTTCTTCGAAGTCTGTCAGGTTTAAAAATCTTCCTGTTATGTTCTAGTGGCTCGTGAGATCTTGATTTGAAGCCAGCCCTGGCAGGAAAAGTCAAGACTGTTATCTTTAGTTAACTACCAAAAAGCTGGATATGGAGTGGTGTGATGTCTCAAGTGACTCAAGAACTCTAGCCTTGGCGTGGGAGTGGAGGGGGAGTGGGGAGAAGATCAGTGACAGCACTCAGGCCCTAGGACCAGCATAAAAACAAGACAGGAGGCATTGGGTTCGATTCCTCAGTACCACATAAGCAGAAAAAGCCGGAAGTTAGCACTGTGGCTCAAGTGGTAGAGCGCTAGCCTTGAGCTGAAGAGCTGAGGGACAGTGCCTAGGCCCAGAGTTCAGGCCCCATGACTATCAAAATAAATAAATAAATAAAAACATGACAGCAAAACCCCCCACAAAACTTTCTTCTGTTGAGAGGTTGATTATTAATGGAAATGATCAAAGGGGAAAAATTAGCCAAAATAGAACAGTTTTATTGCTTTTGTCAGACTAAAATCAATTCTATTATCTACAGAGGATATTTTGCACCTAGTAATGTGACCAACATAACTTTCAGGATTTTCAAATATTGATTGTTGATACTGGTGACAGAAGGAAAGAGAAAGGAAGTATCTGAGTTGTTGCATCCTGGGAAAGATGGACTTTAGATTTGTACTATTAAAGCCCTGTTGATTTCCATCTTCTTGTTAACTGGGAATGTAGTTCCCAAGTGGGATAACTGCAACCTGTAGCCACTGGCTTTGAAATGTAAGATCTCCTTTTGAGACATGTATGGGTTAGTTGGCTGAGAGAAGATATGTAACATTAATTTGTTCTTCTGGTATTTTTAGTAGCTCTCCTAGAAGTACTTAATGGGAGAAGAAGATCCAAGGAGTTTATCTTTTAGATTTTATTACTCTCCAGTCCCAAACAGTACACCAATGAACTTGTCTCCTTCTGAATTGTCTTTCATAAAAAAAGATCTGTATTGTACTTCTCTGCAATATTGACTATTACTGTAGTGTTGCTGTTTTCTCTTAAGAATAGAAATGGGAACATTTGAGCAAGGGGAGTTAGGGCATAAAAGGAATGAGGGATGTGAGCTATCCTTTAAGGAGGTTGTTTTGTTTTTCAAGCCAACACTTTTAGTTAGGGATGTACAGGAATTTATTTTAATAATTTTACATTCTATTAGCCTAATCACGACATCAGATTATCTTCTGAACATAGGGTTTTTTTTTGGGAGGGGTTCCATTATCTATTATTTGCTATTAAAATATAAGACCACTGACCTTATAGAAGGAAGTGTACATTTTGTTTTTATTCTTTCTACTTCTCTGTGGTTTCACTATGCTCCCTCCCTACCCCCCCATTTCATTTATAAAGTCTAGCAAGTTAAATGCATAGTCTCTTACTCAACAATGTGGAGAGGTATTTTATTTTATTTAAAGTGTTTTCACACACTTCAACCCATGGTAGTATTTCTGCTTTTCTTTTCTTTGTGTTGTTGTTGTTTTTTCCTCAGGAACTATGCAGATGAGATTTTTAAAATTTTGATTTGTTATGTTTGGTGAATGACATTATCCCCCCTCTGGGGATTTTGCTTGAAATCTGTTAAAAGGACACAGATGGAGTTGTACTTCCTGGGGGATATTTGAAAAATAAATTAAAAGTGGCAGCTGAGATGAATAACTTTGTTTTTATGTGCTGGGTATCCGTTAGGTTCCCAACATTACAATGTCTCCATTGGGCTGTTCCTTCTCAAGGGGTGAACGCCAAGGCTGGTGTTTATGAGCTGTCTCTCCTAACCCACCAGGTTCTCCTGCGCTACCCAACAGTATGGTATATTTCGGAAGCTCTCAGGATGAGGAGGACATCGAGGAGGAAGATGATGAGACAGAAGATGTCAAAACAGCCACCAACAATGCTTCATCTTCATGCCAGTCAACCCCCAGGAAAGGAAAAACCCTCAAACACGTTCACAACGGGCATGGTAGGTCTGTCATTGAAGTTGGGCAAAGGGACACAAAAGCCAGGCTTTGTGAGCGTGCTGGAAGAGGTCATCTGAAGAGACGGGTAGGAGGCTCTGGGCAACAGCAAAACTGAGTACTTGCCAATGCCAGACTTTATGGGCATTGGTATTATTAGGGCAACACAGAACATGGCAGGCAATTCTAGACAAATAGATTAAGGTAGGCGTGGATGAGGCCCTTATTTTGTGGATATAAGATGAATGAATTTCCTAAGACTTGCTCAGAATAGGAATCAGAAGAAAAAATGATCTTTTTTTTTTTTGATGAAGATTTGTGATCAACTTTTATTGTGGTTGTAGCAAGTGGATATAGTTTTAGGATCTACATGTATTAAGTATGGGCCCTCTACCCCTGTAGAGCCACCACCATGAGGTGTTCAGGACCACATTTCCTACCTTAGGAAATGTGAGATCTGTCTCAGATCTTGTACACACTATTATGGTATAAGGATGAACTTTGTGTTGGGTAAAGTGTCACAGCTCTCAGATCTGGTAAACAGTGACATGGAACCAGTTCCACAGGCTACTGCCTGGGAGTGCTTAGATCTCTAATTGTTTCATTGGCTTCAATATCCTTGGAAGATGAATAGTAACAGTGGAAGGAATGCGTTGACAGCAGATGAGAAGTGCACAGGGTATTTGGAATACTCATTCAATTACCTATGGCTTGGGAGGAAGGGTGGCTTGTTGGAAAAGAGAAGGTATCTTAGCCTTTAAAGAAGACCAAGACTAACTTCATATTCAGTCATTATTTCAGAAAAGCAGCATTTTAATACATAGTTAGCCATGCTGCCTTCCTTTCCTTGTGTCTTTTTTTTTTGGTCGGTCATGGGGCTTGAACTCTGGGCCTGGGTGCAGACCCTGAGCTCTTCAGCTCAAGGCATGCACTTTACCACTTGAGCCATAGAGCCACTTCTGGTTTTTTGGTGGTGTATTGGAGATAAGAGTCTCATGGACTTTCCTGCCTGGGCTGGCTTTGAACCGCCATCCTCAGATCTCAGCCTCCTGAATAGCTAGGATTGCAGGCATGAGCCACCAGTGCCTACCCTACCTTGTGTCTTTTGCAACCACTTTTGTGTAGAAAAAGTAAACGACACAAATAACCTGAACTCAGCAATGGAGGGGAAGGGGAGGCATTGGCAGTGGCAGCCTATCCTGGGGCTTGAACTCAAGGCGTAGGTGCCATCTCTGAGTTTCTTTTGCTCAAAGCTAGCATTTACTTATTGAGCCACATTTCCGCTTTTGGATTTTTGGTAGTTAATTGGAGAGTCTCATTGGGTTTCCTGTCCCATTTGCTTTGAACCTTGATCTTCAGATCTGCTCTCCTTCCTGAGTAGCTAAGATTACAGGTGTGAACCACCAGCACTTGGCCTCAATAATTTATTTAAGCAAGTATTGATGATACTTGGAAGTAAGCCCTCAGGTAAGAGCCCATAGTTGGAATGTTCCTAAGGAGATTAATAAAAGAAAGGTTTTTTTTTTTTTTTATTGCAGGGCTTAAACTTAGGGCCTGGGTGCTGTCCCTGAGCTTTTCTTCTCAAGGCTAGCACTCTACCACTTTGAGCCACAACTCCACTTCCATTTTTCTGGTGGTTACTTGGATATAAGAGTCTCACAAACTTTCCTGCCTGGCCTGGCTTTGAACTGTGACTGTAATCTTCATATATCTCAACCTCCTGAGTAGCTGGGAATATAGGTGTGAGCCATCGGCACCTAGCTAGGAATTTTTTGATACTACTATATCATACAAAAGTTGTGTTTTTTGGGGGAGGGGTCAGTCATGGGACCTGAACAATGGGCCTGGGCACTGTCCCTTAGCTCTTCAGCTCAAGGCTAGTGCTCTACCACTTGAGCCACAGCGTCACTTCCACCTTTTTCTGCTTATGTGGTGCTGAGAAATTGAACAGGGCCTCATGCATGCAAGGCAAGCGTTCTACCACTGAACTACCTTTTCAGCCTACAAAAGTTATATAATTAATATATGTTCCTTGAAAAATTAAACAGTCAGGTATAAAATATTCACAGGTCAAAACTGTCCCTTCAACCATTTCTAAATAATTCAAATTATAATACCAGATTGTCCAACATATATGTATTTGATGAGTCCTTTCGGTCTGTTCAATTTCTAGGAATGTCTTTATCATCATATAGTTGCCAGGACGTTAGTATCATAGCTCCTCTCTCCTCCTTTAGCTACTAATTTGCTTTGTGTTACTGGTTAAGGCATTTAGTTAGCTTTTCTGATTTTTCAATTCTTTGAATTTAGCAGGATGGGGTATAATAGCACTCATTTGTCCTTTTCCCGTTTTATTTCTGTCCTAGCATAAAGAAATAATGGAGAATGTGTCTCATAGAGCAGCTGGCAGATGAGTGTCATGTGGTCAGGGCAAATCACTTTTCAAAGATTACCTGTGTAGGTGGGTAAATAAAGGTCCATGATTAAAATTCTGTTCTTGTAATCCATTCTTCTGAGATAGGTGTATAGTTTCCATTTTTTTCTCATCCTGTCTTCAAACCTTTCATATTTATTCCTATTGACACTTTGTCTTTTTAATCTATCTTATAACCTTAAGGAAAATCTTGAAAATATGAGTTTGAGTAATAACTCTAGGAGATTAGTAAAGCTACTTCTGGGTATGTCTGTGAAGATGTTTCCAGAGAGGATTGGAGGCACAAAGAGGTGTATTTTTTCACTAAGATCTGCCCTCAGTGTGAGCGTTACCATCCCATAGGCTGGGGGACTGGCTGGAATAAAAGGGGCAAAGGAAGTTAGTGGGTCTCTGTGCCCTGGGCACCATGATGTAAGCTGCCATACTCTGCTAAGCCCTCCTTGCCCTCATGAAATAAAAACATGATTCACAATAGATCTTCTCTCTTTTTTTTTTGTCGGTCGTGGGGCTTGAACTCTGGGCCTGGGTGCTGTCCCTCAGCTCTTCAGCTCAAGGCAAGCGCTCTACCACTTGAGCTACAGCGCCACTTCCGGTTTTCTGTTGGTTTATTGGAGATAGGAGTCTCACAGTCTCTCCTGCCCGGGCTGGCTTTGAACCGCGATCCTCAGATCTCAGCCTCCTGAGTAGCTAGGATTACAGGCGTGAGCCACCAGCGCCCAGCTTAGATCTTTTCTCCTTATAAGTTGTTTATGTTAGCAATCTGTCATAGCATAGAGAAAACTTACAGAAACCCAAAGACTCAAGTTGTTTATTCAAGGATCCTCTGAGTGGCCTGTATTTTGTTCTTTCATTTTTCTCACAATACAGAGATGGTCTCTATTTCCTTAGAACTGGCTCAGGAGTGAGGGTACACATGTTCAGATGGGTTTTGTAGCAGGAAGAGAGCATAATTCATGTGTGGCCAAGGAGCTCCTCAGAATTGTTAGCTCTTGCACAAGAGAAAGTTGGTAAGAGCAAGTCCCTGTGTGTCACGCCCCCCCCCCTTCTCCATTGTCCTTCTTGTCAAATTGGTACACTTCCCCTTTTTTATTGACTTGTATCAGGAAATCCACCAACATCTGCATCCTCCCAGAAGGACCATTGCCACTGCGATGTGGGAGGGGGAATAAAACACAGAAAATGTTGGGGAAAACAATTACTTTATGGGATGTGGGAGGGGGAATAAAACACAGAAAATGTTGTGGAAAACAATTACTTTATGGCTGGGCTATCTTCAGCCAAAATTCTAAAAGATTTCATGTCTGAAAGAGTAGTTTTATTTTTATTTTTTATTGTGTTATTTTTAGCTAAGTAGAGCCCAAAAAGATAGTGATACCCTGATTTATTTATCTGATTCTCCTTAAACTGGAGGTTGTGGTTTTTGTTTTGCCAGTCTGGAGCTTGAACTCTGGGCTTGGGTGCTATCCCTGAAATCCTTTATGTTCAACACTAGTGCCCTACCACTTGAGCCACAGTGTCATGACCACCTTTTTCTGTTGTTAATTGGAGATAAGAATATCAAGGACTTTTCTGCCTGGGCTGGCTTTGAACTGTGATCCTCAGATCTCATGTTCCTGAGTAGCTAGGATTTCCAGGCATGAACCACTGGCTCAAAGTGAGGTCTTAAGCAGAGAATAGGATATCTAGCCTCTCCTGGAATTTGGCTGTTGGGAACACACCATTTGTGACAGTACTTATACTGTCTTCTAGAATCTATGTATGACTCTACTCTTTTTGAAGTAAGAACTTAGGCCGCATAGCCCTGAAAAACCTGGGTATCCACAGACAGAAGCTTAATTTCACAAACATTACACAGTATTTGCATATTCTCATTGTGTAGTTACCGAGCATCCTAATGGAGTGGATTTGCTTAAGATACACAGTCTAAACTCACTTGGACAGCTTCATCCAAGCTTTTAACCTTGGGTTACAACTCAAGGGTTACACTAACAGTGCCTCTAGCCTTTTCCAGTTTGATAGCTCATCAAACTTTCCAAAATAATCTTCCATATACAGAACCTCAAATGATCCTGACTACAGAGCCCTTAGGTAATTGCTGTATGGAAATAAAACAGCATAATCAAAACACTACTTTGTAGTTATAATACAAATTGATACTTAAAATTTCTTAGGTTTTTGAAAAGTGTTCCTAATGATTAATTCCTCCCCCCTCCACCCCCAGTAGGGTAAATGTGGTAGATGAGAGAAATTAATAAATGAGTTTGGAATGAATTTGGCTTTAGCTTTTCCTCAGTGTTGTTATTGTGGTGAGCTCTGTAACCTCAGGGAAGAGTTCTTGGTGAATGCTCACTGGTTAAGTCAGATACATTGTGACATATCCTTTTTTTTTTTTTAAAGGGTATTTCCTTCATATATTTTATTACTTAATGAACATCAGGTGGAATTGGAGAGATTATTATTCCTTTTTGTGCACATCTTTTTCTGAAGAGAAGGGGATATTTCTCAGAAGACTTTTTAAACAACATGTCACTGGACTCCCAGCTGGAATGATTTAATTGCTTTTGGATTCAC